AAAAAAAAAACTAACAGAAAAGCAAAAATAATAGCCCAAAATACGTGGTACAGCAGTTGAAAAGGCATATTATACACACCAGCAATAGGGTAATGCGAGACCTCCATGTTAAAAAGTGAAGAATTAAATACTGCTAAGCTAGCAACCCATGAAGAACTGCCACAGGCACAAAGTACTTGAAAAAACATACACTTCCTAGGAGCTAATTTGTTGCCAGGGAGATAGCTCAGCTGCATAAGTGCCTGCCTGGCAAGTGTGATCCCTGATACAAAAAAAAAGAAGAAGAAAGAAAAAGAAAAGAAACATAGGAGCTAATTTGGAATCAGCAAGAAACACAAACACAGATAGGCAATGTAGAGAATGTTACAGAAAATCATCTGAAAAAAATTGTGACTGCTGTGGCCACAAAAAAGCCAAATATGTCATGACATTTTGTACAATCTGCATAAACCACCCACCATATATTCAAAAGTATTTTGAAGTTCACCATGCTATTTTAATGAAATTTTATTATTGCACTAATTTTAATTCTATGAATAGTATTTTTTATACTGGGGCACTGATTATTCAAATTCAAGCAACTAACTAGATTCAGTCCATTTATACTTCCATTAATTTTATTAGTAAAAGGTGATTACATCCATTTGCACTACTAGTCGTACAAGTCCCCAAAATGAGGTCATGCAGGTACCAGCAATGGTCAAAGCTGGTGGCAGCATGCGGTGGGTAATGGATATGTGTCCCAGTGATGGAAAATCTATCTAGCAGACATGTTGTTTTTGGTGTTTTGGTGGAACCGGGGATTGATCTTAGGCCCTTGCGCTTGCCAGGCAAGTGCTTATTCTACTGAGCTATCTCCCTGGCCCCCCAGACATTTGAAACTTCCACCCAACTTCTTTCCCTCTCTCTTTTTCACATATACCACAATCCCTTCCCACCAAAGGATGATCAAAAGATAAGGTGAGGGCCGACCAAATAGCTCAGCGGATTAAAGTGCCTGCTTAGGCAGACACAAGGGCCAGGAGTCTGATCCTGGGCC